CTCTACCCAGCAGCACTCCAAAATCCACTGCCACTTTTGTTTTTCTTTAGCCATTTCTGTAGAAATGGTTTGATAACAGCAAACTGGAGTGTTGTGCTCTCCCCCTTGTTTGGGTTAACAGTACCCATTTTAATCTAGTAACAAATGGCCTTACAACAGCACAAGAAAACATTTTGTATTTTTTCTCTAGCTCCAAAATCACACCAATAAGGTCCTTAAAGCCTCTGACATCTAGAAGGCACTTAAAAAACTCACTTTAATAACACACTTTCTTGTAGAGCTTTACAAACAGTTCAAAGAAGCTGAAACATAGTTACAGATTTCACTAGAATATTCTGAGTCCAAACATGTCTGCTATCTTTGTTTGATGTCCTTTATTTTATTTATTTATTTATTTTTATGAATACTATTATACATCAAGCAAGTTGCAAATTCTGGTGTCTAAACCATTAAAGGAATTATTTTTTGTTAGGTCTCTTGACTTTCATTAGAAGACATTTCTTTAAATACCTTGTTCTCTGTGCTGCAGAGAGTTGCAAAGTCTAGCTTAGTAAAACTGGCTGCTACAGCTGGAGCAGCAGTGAAGACTCCTTGAATAATCACAGCACTGATAAGAAATACCAAGAGATCATGATACAGGATATAAGATCATGATTCAATACACAATTAAGCAGACTTTAAAAAAAACAGACCTTTGCAGAGCAGATTCGCCAGTGGTTTTGGAAGAAGTTGGGAAAAATCAAGTAAAAGCAAATCATTTGTGTTGTAAGTTGGTATAACTTTTCAAAATAAGCTATTAAGATAAATAAAAATGATATTGCTTTCATATTTTAGACCAACAATGAAAACTAATGAAATTGCAGACTCATTCAGTGGCCAGGAGTAAATATGGATAGTGGAAAAGGCAAATATATAAACACATCTGTTTTGGACGAAGCAAATTAACTTCAAATGAGCATAAGTGATCTGAGCTTTGATTTTACTTCATATTTTAGTAAAATCATCTAGTAGGAGAATGCTGAGGCCAGATTGGAGTTTGGTCATGGGTTGACTGTCACCATCCTCAAAAATGTCTTCTGGGTATTTGCTTTACCCAACCAAACTGGTGCCGTGGATCACAGAACAGATCAGACCAAATAAGCCTTTCCTCTTGTTTAGAATTTTTCTTTTCTTTTCCTCAGAAAATGGAAAGAAACAGTTACAATTGGATTGTTTTTTCTTTTCTACATTTATAGTTTCCCTTGTTGTGCTCCCTAGATATGTGAAAAACAGCACTGAAAACCAAAACAATTAAAAATTAATTTGGAATCTGTTTTGAGCTAGCAAGACATTTTCCCTAATATAGTACTCAGGTGGCCTAATTTTATCTCTTACACTGAAAAACAATCATTTGTTATATTCAAGCAAAAATTCTGCTACCTTTTATCATCATTTTTAACAGGATTACAGTGCTCTCAGCACCATAGCTATTATAAGCTCTGAGGTTACAGCAGATATGCAGAATTGCATTGCCCATTATTCATAAAAATTAGCTGAGCTTTATATAACAAAAAGCTGTAGGCTGCAGAGCACAGATCAGTTATGGCCAGAAAAAAAAACTTCAGGGAGCAGAAAACATGAGGTTCAGGCAGCAACACGAAAGGGTCGGGTGGCTTCATGAAATTCTCATGCACATTATCTCAGTGGTGAGGCTCCTGCAAGAGCAGTACACAAAAAAAGCAATGTAGGGGCCAAATACTTGTATATTGCTTTGAGATGTAATTATCCCAAACATGTTGATTTATGCAAGCTGCAATTCCATTTCTATTCTCTAGGGGACCCTACTGTTCCAGTAACACGAGAAATGTTAACCCTACTGTAGACTCTAGTATGAAACAAGCACAATATTTTTTCCCAGTCCTGTAGAATGAGGAAATTATTTGGCTTTGGTAGGAGGATGCAGCAAATCTCAGTAAGTTGCTGTTATTGTTTTCTTGATATTCACACTAGTTTATGCCCTTTGAGTAAGCTGTGCATAAGATACCTTTAAGACATACAGACCAGAGATTTCTTTTATTACAGACTACTGGAATTCTAACAGAATTGAGTGAGAGACATCAGAGATCCATTATCTATAGAGCTTATAACACCCAGTCATCTAAGATGCATTAGTAAAATTGATCTCTATCAGGGTATAATAATCAAAGTATGTATGTATATCTATGTTTGTGTATGTATATCTATGTTTGTGTATATATACTTTTTTTTAACTAGTTTAGGATATTTGTTACAGTTCTGAACTTGTTCATTTTATAAAGCATTTTGGTTTACCAAGGTGATTCTTGAATGATGCAAGTTTAAGTTGACCTAATGTTCCTCAAGTTTACCTTTCTTATGATGCTTCTCCTCATCCATTTTACTTATTTTAATATTCTCTGATGGAGAATGTACTTGTCAGCATTCATAGAGCTGTTATCTGTAATTATTAATGACACCTGCAAGATGTAGTGAGCTCCTGCAAAGTAAACTAATTAAGAAGAATTCCAGTGATTAGAAAGCCTAAAAGTCAGCACAGGCCTCTTTGAAGCCAACACTAATAGACAGGAAATTTGTCATGGCTATTACTGTTCTCCTGATTCAGTTAGAAGGCTCCAAAACGACTGAAGAGGATGTACATCTGTAGAATTGAGATTTGTTATTTGGAGAATGGGCATAATTGCAAACTAGCAGTAAGACTGCAATATAAGGAGAAGAAAAATCAAATATAAAGTGCCATGATTAAAGAACACACCAATTTACAATCAGACAGATGGAGCACTGACTCAGATATTCTATGAAAGCAAACTGAATTCTTATCTTTGATTATTACACAATCCTTTACACTGTTACTCAGGCAGCACCTCAATTTCATGTACACAGAATAAATCAGAGCACTACAAATCAAAAATCACAATAAACAGCAATCTCGCTGTCCACTACATTAAACAGACTATATGCACCATTAAATTTTTATTAGTGAGATGTTTTTAAGTCTCTCCTTATTTCATACAGAATTTAGCAATATCATTAGAGAGATATCTGAGATGTTTGGTAAGCAAGTGTAGTTTTGCAATTCAAGGTTAACGGTGCTTAACCATAGCAAAGAGAAAAACATAAAAAGAGGCTACCTTGAGAGAAAACAAGACAAAAAAAAATCAGAAACATGGGATGAAAGGCTGTCTGGGTACTATATCCCTCTATACTACCCTGTGTGGAAATGAATGCAAAAGAATATTGATAGCAGTTGCTGCTAAACATCAAGAAAAGAGGTCTCAAAATCAGAAAGGCTTGAAACCTGAGTTCTCAACACAGAATAAAAGTGTTCTGGATGAAAACACTCCAGATCCTCTTTAACTGAAATTAGCAGCTACTAAAACGGTCATCATCTTCTAGAAGGTACATTCTTAAGAGATAAGTAATTTTATTACTTTATTATTATTTTATATTAAGACTATTTCTAATAGGTAGCATACCAACATATCTTTTGAGTGTACTCTACTGTGTTTTTAATTATGTTGTATCTCCAGTACTGGCCTTAAATCTAATCATTTGTGAATTTTGTATCCAGCAGAACCTATGCTGGCTAGAAATCATCACACTGGTACCTGAAATTTCACAAAGCTCTTGTGCAGTTCTTCCCACACACCCGCCTCTCCCCACAACAAACTCAGAACCAGGCAGGTTTTCCAAATAATAAATTGCAATTCTACAGATGGAAACTGATCTTCTCAACAGCAACAGGCTTTGACAGCCTCAGCTTCCTTGGATTGAATACTTCTGCCTCTCATTAAGGCTTATTAACTGCCTTCTACTCCTTGTATAGCATTACTTAAGGAGCATTTATTCAGTCATTAGCATTAGATATTCTGTTTAAGATGACAGACCTCATACTTAGTCTGCAGTTTCCCATCTATTTATGGTTTAATTTACAAGATACGATCTCATTGTCAGTTTTATAGTCCTATAGCTGAACTAAAGCATAGTTGATGTTAAAACTGAGAAGAAAGAAATTTGTGGACTACTAAGTATTACAATCTGTAATGGAAGGTGTCTGTCCTCAAACTGTCAAGTTCATCTGCTGCCCCAATGGACTCTTTAATGGCCACCATCAACTCGCACAGGTCAATGATGTTCTCACTCAGGAGAAAAGCCAGATGTCTTAAACTGCTCAAAGTGAAATGATAAGACTAGTCTGAACGGACTCATACCTTCATTAAACACATAAAGAGATTGATCACACTGATTAAATTACAACTGCAGGTATTCACACAACCAGCAGCCACAAAGAGCACATTTTATTCAAAAAAACATACTGCCGTAATTACTATCTTTTTTACCTGCATAGGTACAAAATCAAGAATTTACTCAGTTTTGTCTTCTGCTGCTGCCTCAATTCCAGCCCTCATGAGAATTAATCTGAGTAATTTGGCTATACTGACACCTTTGGTGCTATGCTCCAGAAATCCAGCATCTTTTTGCTGGAAAAAAAAAATCCTTTTCCTTACCCTGCCCTTTAAATGCGACATTTACTGACAACTGCTTCAAAGAAAAAACAGATGCAGAGTTGGAGTTGGAACACCAAGAGCAAGCAAATGTCTGAATTTGGTCCCCTGAAAAGAAAGAAATAAACAAAACAGTCTCTTGTCTTCACCCAGCAGTGGGTTTTAGGGGTAGGTAGCATTAGTAATATTGATGACAAATACACAATTTACAGAAATTAGAAGTATTTGCCAAGAAGCAGCACAGCGACTTTCTCAGTTGCTCTGTTAGCGACTCTTCATCATCTCGTCATGCCAGCTAAGCCCTGGACTCTGCAATGATCATTAGCAGTTACAGACTTTGCTTACCAGTGATACAGATTAAAATGAAAACTGACAGACACAAGGAGGGAGATATCAAAGAGATTTATTGGTTTAATTTTCTTTAGAATTGATATAGAAATATATGCATCTTTAAGAACTACATACATTTTATTTAGATAAAGACATGAAAAGAGAAAATTAAGGTTCTGTATTGCTGCAAAGACATTAATTAAGGTTAAGAGTATGTCATAATTTTGTGCCTGCAATAATTCGAACAGCTTATATATTAGTATTACAGTGGATCAGTACATTGATATTAAGGAATCTATATAATGTGGCAAGCATGGGTTGTGAACGAACTGAGATCTCTGTCTTCTCAAGTTCTTGACTACTTCGGAAGATGATCAAGTAGTTCAGAGTTTGGCATAATCCTTCAGGATCATTTCCAACTTCTGGCTCAGCATGATGTTCCCTTTCACTTTTAGTTTGCCAGCAAAGAATGCCTACAATAAGCAGAGGGGAGAGAAAAAGAAAAAGGTTTTCAAACACCTACCCCAAATCCAAAGGGCTACTATTCATTGGATATTCATTGCTTACGCAAAAGTCATCAGTGAGTAATGCCCATTTGTTATTGGACAGAGTGTGAGCTCAACTGAGAAGTCAGATTACCATTGTCAAGGCAAACCTACTTCTCTGGAGGGAAAAACACCACCACCACCCTTCAGGAACTCCCATTTCTTTTTTTCAGTACAAAGCACTTCTGTTAAAAACAAATTTCTCCACAGAAGCTGATGACAAATGTTAGCAAATATACAAAAATAAGAATTCCAGTCTTTCCCCACCCTATCACACTGAAATCTATGCATTACTGAATTGCTCATCACATTATGTCATTAAATTCCTAAGAAATCCAAACAAGAAATCACACCATACATATGTGTGTGCATATATACACACAAAAAAATGCACCAACTTTATAGGTAGTAGATTACTACCCATGCAAGACAAAAACAGAAATTTTGACCAAATACAAAAAATTATTGTGCTTGTAGAACAGATTGACCAAAATTTTTACTGAAATGCTCGTATATTAAATTTTTATTGTCTGTAGTTCAAAGGCTTGCAAGCCCTGTTTCAATCTAGTTCATTTTCTTTTAAAACAGTTTTGCTTTGCCTTGGCTTTGCAATCTGAAAGCTCTTTGAAAGTTCTGAAACAATGTGTTTTTGCAGGGCTCCATTAACTAGAAATATATTCAAATAAGGAATAGAGAGAGCCAGTAGAACACATTTTGAATGTATGCTTTGAGCTTCTTTAGATGAAAAAAACTTCACAGAAACTCAAACAAAATATTAATGCCTGAGAACGCACAATGGGCCTGAATTGGAGTCACTCTCCTTTTGTGTTTTAAAGCTTACATGTCAACATCTTGTTTACTTATGCCTGCTACATACAGAAGGTCAAAAATGATTTTATTCACTTGGTGTGCAAGATTTTAACAAAAATTGAGCAACATTGTTATCTTCCAATTGTAAATTCAAAGCCTTCAACAATCCTTAAATCAAAGAAAGCAACTGTTTGATATATGAAGAGCTAATTAAAGTTTTCATTTACTCAAGTTTGAATCTATAAATTGATAAATTCCATCTGTGACAATTTAATTTAATTTATGTGAGGTTTGTTTTATTTTTGGAAGGAAAATTAGTAGTTTCAGAGCTATTTATTATCTCAAGAACCTGAAGTGCAGACAGATTACCATCTTTCATATTCTACATATTCCATATATATATATAAAATACTATATATTTAAATTTATATTCTACAATATATTCTATATTATGTATTCTTTTAATATATTCCTTTATATGCTTATATACTCCACATTTTTATATATTCCTTTCCCTTAAAAATGTACCTGATTATGGGTGAATTTTGTCCATTTAAATGGATCTATACATCATCTAAGATTTTTCTTTACTTTAGTAGTAGTAAAATAATAACAAAAAGCCTGAGTGATAATAAACTGACAGAAGAAAAAATTGAAACAACTAATTTTGCCGTGGCAGGCCTGACATGCCTTGAGGTATCTTTGTCTTTTCACAACTAGCAAAAAGATGTCATAAATTCCTTTTCACGTGCTCTGACTATTTCAATCCAAGGTTAACGATGTGCCTACACTCAGTCTGAATTGGGTTTGCACTGTCAAAATATCCAATGTTGCAGACTTCAAAATGCTAATGGTTGTGAAACCCATGTGTGAAACACATTTAACTTGAATTAAAACAGTTACTCTTTCTCCATGTAGATGAATACATCTGTGACACAAAGGTTTTTACCTTCTGGGGGTTGGTTTTTTGTTGAACCACATCCATGAAATCCTCATCTGAGAGAGTGAAAGTGGTATCAGCAGAGCTTCTTGCAGGTCCTTGGTAGACCTCTCCAGAACCATTCTTTAAGTCAATTGCTGAGAAGAAGCAGCAAAGATAAAATTTTCAGTTTACAGTAACATTAGTTTTCTTATCTATTATTATGAAATGTCCAGTGTAACCACAGCCATTTGGGAAACAATAGATCTTTTCTTCTTAAATGAAACAAAACAATTGATATTATAACAGTAGAGAAAAAAAAAAAGAAAAAACTGAACTATTGTAGTTAGTCACACAGGTAGTAATAGAGGTTTACATCTTAAATGTTAGGATTTAAGCAATTAGATGGTAGTACAAACTTCAAACTGTGTTTTTTCCCTTTTTAGATAATTGATATTTGAAATGAATGGACTTTTTTTTTTTTTTTTTAATAGGAAGTAAAATAAGCCAAAAATACAATTAACAAATCTACATTTCAATCACAAGCTGCATTCTGGTCATAGTAATCCAAAGGAGGGTCACTGTTACCTAACCTGAAAAATCCTGTCCCTTTATTTTTATGAAGACTCAAAGACATTAGCACTGTACTACCTGTCTCTGACATGCTAACCAAGACCTACCTATTCCAGAACAATAGGCTGGAATCCACTCATTTATGACCCAAATCACTAATGCTTCTGTAGTTCAGACATCAGTCTTCACAGAAGACAAAAGCATATATTTCCTAACTGCTTAGACTTTTCCAGTATTCTCTTAAAAAGAGATCCCCTTAAAAAGTTTCTTAGCAATTTGGAGGGGAACTTAAGTAAAGGACTGGGAAAAAAAAAAGAATCTATGTCAAAGGAGGAAAATTTCCACCTAAAAAAAAATCAAAGACAACAGTTGAACAGCTAAAACATCTCTTGAGGGGAAAGAGGTTAACTGGATTGTCAAGAAAGAACCAGCTTTCTGGCTATTAGCATATCTAAAGTATATATTCACAAGCATATACCTCCAAACTAACTTTTTTGTTTTGTTTTGATTTTACAGCAAGAGCTTAGCTAGTTAATTCTAGAAATACACATGTTCAAAAAACAAAAGAACAATAGTTCGTCTGAAAACTCTTTCATAGCTGGAAAAGAATAACCAACAGAAAAGCAAAAATCGTATCTACACAGAAGATAAGATACAAAAGGTATTAATTACTACAGAATTTTTAAAGCTAATAATAACTGAGGTTTTAAAATAGCAGAAGTCAAAAACAGTGGTGGTAAAACATGATGCTATATTTCCCCTTTGGTCATATAGCTTGCTCTGCTTGGGGCAAAGAAGATTTCAAGCACTGACTAACGACATGTCCTTCTATTCTGGAAAGCCAAAAATTCCTCAGAGTGTCTGGAGCTTCAGAATTTTTTTTTCCCCACACCAAATACTCTGCCAAAATAATCTATTATAACATTAACCCTGCCAAGTAGTGTGTCATCTGCTCAGAGGAATATTTTGATGGGACAAGCACTGCCAACTCCCTCTGAGTTTGCAAATCCCATCTTTCTCTTTAAACATTTTCCTTTTGGCTTAAATAGTAAGCACAAGCCAGAATCATCCACTCAGGTGAATGTTTCTGTAATGACATAGCATCTCTAAATACGGAATCATTGCTACCTTGCCAATATTAAGACAGTCAGATAGTGTCCCTCCACTGTCAAGTTTTAAGGCACTTGCTTGACTATGGAGACTTATTTCTATACACACTGTCTCCTCTGCAGTCTTTTTCAAAATGTTTTTTTCCAAAACGTTGAGGAAAACTGAACAGATTTGGAATAGATTTTGTTTGAAGTGGTGAAGTCTTTCATTTTCTGAAATCTGTTCTAAAAAGTTACAGTTATAACAAAACTAAAAGGGGAATTAATAAGTGTTCTGTGAAAAGTGACATTCTAGATTACTATTATCCTCTTGATTTTAACAGATACTAAGGTAAATTATAATTTCAGTGACAAGTTTAATAGCTATCACTAACTTGACACAATAAGAGATGAAGAAAGCAAATATTGCCTATAGAAACATAACGTATATGCATCAGAAAAGGGCTACAGCGTATCAGTATTTAAGATGCCAGAAACTAAGGAGCAACTACAAACAAGGAACATTATAGGTGCAGATGAGCTTTTCAAAACAATTTCATCTTTATATTTTTTGTTTTATTTTTGCACTCTTCACAGCTAGCAAAATAAAACATTAGACAAGTTCCACTTTCTCTCCAGATCAGCTTCACTTACATATGCATGAGGAACACAAAATTCCTCTAAATATTTTGCTTACAAACTTACAAAATGTTCATATGATGAACATTTATTAAACAATAAAAAGCCAAAAAATATTGACATGGTACTAGGGCCGTGAAAGCTTTCCTAAACCTTCTGTGTTTGTGGGTAGGAACTGAGTAAAATCCTTTATGAGCCAGAATATCTGCTACATAATATATCATCATAAGAAAGCCTTCAAACATTGTTCCAGTAGACTAAGCAAGTACAGTCTACGAAAGCGGAAAATTAAAATAAAATAAAACAAAATTTATCAAGTCATTAAATAAAATGGTTACCAGTTCTTCAGGTTAAGCCAACCAAACTTATTACGATACTCTTGGAAGTGAAATAACATGGCCCAAACAATCACACAAACTTAGGCTAAAATGCTAGACATTGACCTTCTAAAAAATGGAACCAAAAAGCCTTAAATTCCAGAATCTAGGACAATTGATTAGCTTTTGCTTACTAAGATCTGCCATGTTAAAGAGAGAACTATCACCAAACAGACAATTTTTTCTTTATTCTGCTTCACAGATGATAGCTAATTGCAATACAAAACTCGTCCTCAAAGCAAATTTAACAAAATATCACCCACCCTTCATTGCTTGAAGTCATATCACATCATAAACTATTTAGCAGTTTCCAAGTAATTTCAGCAAGATGTTTGCAGTCAGCTACACATAACGATCTCTTCCCAGTTTTTCTACAAAAGTTTTATTCTTCTGAGACTTGGAAAGGAATAAAAGTATCTTCTGCCTTCGGCAATTCCTTTAGAACCATAGCGAAAAATCTACAGATGGGTAAACTGTTCAGCAGAACCATTAGCTATCACTTAATAAATCCAAATTGCTATGTCTTTCCAGAGAAAGCAGAAATCGCAGAAAAGGACCTTAACTCTTCACAAATGAAAGTATTTCATAACTATTAAAAATCTAAAAGGAGTTGTTGTAGAGTAATAAATATATGGAAGAGAAAAGAAGGCTTTAGTGAAATCAGTTGGAGAAGTCAAAGCTCGCGGACTCTTACTAAGAGTTTGGGGGTGCTAACACCACCAAGGCGAAAACGGAGACTAACAGAATTTCAGAGCCCTCAGGATGGCAAACAAGGAGCACAGTTTTTCTCCTCAGTTCTGTCAGTGAGAGGGGAGGATGAGAGAAGTAGATGGAAAGACAATACAGTGAGGCATAGACAGTCCTGGAGATTCCCGGAGAACAGTGATAACTTTTTGACAGGAGTGGTGGAGGAACCAACGAGAAGACAGGTGCTGCTCAACCTAGTACTAGCAAACATGGAAGGGTGGCTGGAGATATGGAAGTTGAAGGTAGCATTGGATGCACTGATCATGAGGTGATGGCGTTCAGAATCCAGTGCGGAGGAAGTAGCGTAATAAGATGGATCACAATCCTGGACTACAGGAGGGCAAAGTTTGATCTCTTCAGAGACCTACTTAGAGGAATCCCATGGGGTAGGGCCCTAAAGATAGGATTCAAGGACCACTACCTGCAAGCTCAAGCCTGCTGCATCCCTGTGAGTAAGGAGTCAGGCAGAGGGAGCATGGAACCTGTGTGGATGAGCAAGGACCTCCTAGCAAAATTCAGACAGAAGGAGACATACAGAGTGTGGAAAAGAGGAAAGATCTATGGGAGGATTATAGGAATACTGTCAGGAAATGCAGGGATGAAACGAGAAAGGTTAAAGTTCATTTGAAATTAGATCTGGCAAAGGATGCCAAGGGCAACAAGAAGGGCTTCAAATACATCAGTAACAAAAGGAAGACTAGGGAAAGTATGGATCTGCTGCTGAATTGGGTGGGTGTCCTGGTTACAAAAGACACAGAATTACTGAATAACTCCTTTGCTTTCATCTTTAAGGTCAGCCCTCTGGAATACCAGACCCTGGAGACAAATGAGGATGTCTGGAGAAAGGAAGACTTGCCCATGGTTGAGGAAGATGGGGTTAGAGATCACTTAGGCAAACCTGATACCCACAGATCCATGGGCCCTGACAGGATGTGCCCAAGAATGCTGCTGGAGCTAGCAGATGTTAGTGCTAAGCCACTCTCCATCATCTTTGAAAGGTCATGGAGAACAGGAGAGATGTCTGAGAGGACTGGAAGAAAGCCAATTTCACACTAGTCCTCAAAAAGGGCAAGAAGGAAGATCCAGGAAATTACAAACCAGTCAGACTCATAACCATCCCTGGAAAGGAGACAGAAGAGATCATGCTGGATGTTGTCTCTAAGCATGTGGAAGGCAAAAAGGAGATCAAGAGTAGTCAGCATGGATTCAGCAACGGTAAATCACACCTAACCAATCTGATAGCCTTCTGTGATTAAATGACTGTCTGGGCAGGTAAGGGGGAGCAGTGGACGCTGTCTGCTTTGATTTCAGCATGGCTTTTGACACTGTCTCCCATGACATGTTCACAGGCAAGCTCAGGAAGTGTGGGTTTGATGAGTGGACAGTAGGGTGGACTAAGAATGGGCTGAATGGCAAAGTGCACAGAGTTGAGATCAGTGGTATAGTCTAGTTGGAGGGCTGTAGCCAGTGGTGTCCCCCAGGGGTCTGTAGTGGGCCCAGGGCTGTTCAATTTGTTCATTAAGGACTTGGATGAGAGCACAAAGTACATCCTCAGTAAGTCTGCAAATGATACCAAACTGGGTGGAGTGGCTGAGACTGTGTTGCCATTCAGAATGACCTAGACAGGATGGAGAGCTGGGCAGAGAGGAACCTGATGAGGTTCAACAATGGCCTGTGAAGAGTCCTGCACCTAGGGAACAATAACAACATGTACCTATACAAGCTAGTGGTGAC